GCTTCGCCAGCTTGGGGAGCAGAATGATGACAACTCTAGTGAGACTTCAGAGTGCGAGAATGGGCACGGTCACAGCCGCAACTCAGCAAAAGCGACATCAGCAAAACACAGGGCCGTAGGACAAGTCCTTCGAGAGACAAACCCTTCCGAGCCTGATGATTTGGAACTACACAAAAATGAGTTTGAAATGCAGGCGGCTGAAGAAATCAATGAATCAGCGGTTAGTGGGTTGGAATGGGAGAAGGTGAAGGCAGCTTTGAAAGAAGGAAACTGTCCCGTGCCCACACAAGAGCAGGTTTCAGATTTTCTAGCTGCATATCCGGATGATTTGGCAGAAACTGCGTTGATGGAGCTTGTATTGAACCATGCAGGACATCTTCCGAATTCGGTGAATGACGCGGAAATCGTGGTACAATTGTCATAATATTGTCTATTTTAGAGGGTTCCATGTCCCAGGACTCCAGGACCAATTCAATTCTTGTTTGCCTTCCTTAACATGATCTTTGTATGCTTGTCATTTATCGTGTGTCCATCAAGTTCCAGCACATCAAGATTTTAGATCGAAACGAAACCTGAACCTTGAAACCAACCGTCTATTTGTTTGTATTGTAGACTCGTAGAATAGACTCTACTACTATATATAGTTACTAGTTACTATGCCGGATTTGCATTGGCTATCAGGCTTTGCCTAGCTCGCGCATTGCATTGTAAGTCGCCGCATGTGTTCGTTCTCCCTCAGACTCAGATTTCTGCAAAGCAGCTTAGCTTTTGGTTTTCGTTTTCCATGTTGAACTTGAACTGGATCTTTGTCCCCCACACACGCAATAGAATCAATACAATATTAAATGTTGTCAGGAGTCATGGGGAACACCGACACCAGCGACGGCGGCACTGACTGCGACGGTGCTCGCAATCAGCAAGATGGTGGTCGTGAAGAAGGCCAATCTGACAATGACCAAACATTTTTAATTTTTGAGTTTTCACGCCGTCACAACGACTGTCGACGTGTAAACTGTGTAAACTGTGCAAATGACATGACTAATTACATAATCTTAATCCAGTAGTAGGAACCACATGTTCTTCAGTCGAGTCGAAACCGGTTCCCGATCTGGCAAATGTCTGTCAGTCAGTCAGCACGTGTGAGATGCAAGGATCTGACGGTGGTACCACCTCGTGGCAATCATGGACAGCGAACTTCAAAGAGGGCATTGAATGTTTGGAGTACTACTTCAAAGCCCAACAGCAAAAACCAGGTGAAGATGAACACGCAGGTGTTTCGTTGATCATCCACCCGGAAACAAATGATCTGGCCCTTGTTCAGTGGACCATTCCAGGCAAACTTGGTAGAATAGCCGACTGTGACGAGAATCATTTGATCAAATGTATCGTTCCGGTCGGCCCGAAGCGAGTACCATTGGATCTTGAGAATGCCCAGATCCTCATACCAGCCACAGGTGCCATGATGATAAGAGAACGAAGGTTGAAAAGAAATGCGCACGCAGACAATTTGAACCGACTCCCTCCTATTCTTGTCCGGTTCATGAAAATGTGGAGATCCAGCCAGCATGAAGGCATTGACACCATTGGCGAAATCTGTTTTGTTTGTGGAGCTGAAGGTGGCGGTTCAGCCGCACCTGCCACACCTGCAGACTCAGAGTTCATGCTGTGCCCGCTGTGCTTGCTGTGCAGCCACAAGAGATGTTGTGGCCACCTTTGTGACCAAATCGGGCAAGAGCAAATGTCACGATCCTTGCGCGAAGCTGGCGGTTCAGACGAGGCAGCACGCTTTGCATCGTCGACCATCTTCCAATCTCTTGGAAAGCTTCTCCTCCGCTTCAAGACTTTCTTTAAGTTTTGCGGTTTGCGGTTTTCAATGTTTGAAGCCACTAGTGCCGTGTCATCATCATGAGTCCTGCAAAATCCTTCTGATAGTTACCTTGGGTTCATCGAAACGGAAACGCATTGACATATTCAGATGTCAGATTATAGGATATTATAGGATCTTTACAGTCTTGTTGAGTTGTGTGGCTGAAACAAATTGTTCGAATTTTGTTGTGTGTTGCATCAAGCAAGAGTTTCTTATGCTTTGCATTGGCCATAACCAAAGATACGCACGATATGATATGTGCAACTGTCAACTCAAGTCTGACAATTGCGCCATTCCACCATTCCTGTAGGCCTGTAGGCAGTTTGACTCAATTCGATGATTCGACGCTCGACTCGAACAATTTCTGGGTAGGTTCAGCCTACCACTTTGCTGTTTGCTTTTGTGTGTTTTAGACTGTTTTGGAAGCCTGTCAATCTAAACGCAAATGGTAGAAGTAGAAGATTGGCCAGCTGTCCAGCAACACCATATCATTTTCACAGTGTCAGTGACACTCCCATGTCTAATATACCCCTCATTCATTCTCAGATTGCTCTGTTTTGGTGATTGATTGGGCCAGTGGTAGGTGAGCACGTGCTTCCATCCCTGAGGCTTAAGTTCTTGCAACCCATGCAGCCCTGTATTCTGCATTTTAGCACTAACCTGCAAGCAGCAAGCGCGATGTGGTCTGTGTCTTTCTGTAGCCTGTCGCTAGTTTTACATGTTCATAAATTCAAAAAGCTAAGAAGTTGTTGTTGTTGTTGTTGTTGTTTCCTTATTATATGTTTGAGAAATTTGACATTCCATAGGTGCTGTGCATTGCATTATGCAAATCAATGGTTTCTTTTGCTTCGTCCATTGCATGCTTCCTTATTCCTTCTGTAGTCTTGTTGTTGCTTTGCTGTTTGCTATAGTAAGTGACACCACCGACTATGACTCGTTGACCCACCGACTCACCCGCCCACACAGTAATTAGCCATAGGCCATGACTGTCTGCAAAAGTGTCTTTGTTGTCAATTTGTCAAGTTGTCATGTGGTTGATGCATCATGTGAATCATGTTCCTCCTCCATTGTTGCATTGCTGTCCTCGTCATCCACTGAGCATACCATTCCACCAGCATCGCGTCACATCGCCCTCAAAGGATTTATGGTGATTCGTTTCTGGTGGATAACAAGATTATTGTCTCAAACTAAAGTTTCTTTATGACGCGGCCGCTAGTGACTGCGACTCAACGTTATAATGTTGACTCGAGACAGAGACTGAGAGTGATACTCCTGCTGCTCTTCATTGCCCTGCTGCTATGGATACCTAGTGGCTTAGTGCTACCAGCTAGCTACGTAGGCAATATAGCACCGTTGGACTGTTAGTTTTCCCATGTCGGGCCCATGTTGTGTCTTGTATGATCAAGACGGCGTTGCGGCGTTGGCGTTGGTTAATGTTAATGTTGTGATATGATGATACGTTGTGATTGCAACCTTGGTTCAACCACGAAGCGAACTAAGCACTCCCCATAGGCCCATGCCCATGCAATGCAAATAAAAATATGTTTCTCCTAAGCTTGCTGTTGTGGCTGTTTTCTAGACCCTTTCGGTTCATAGTGACATCTAGTCTGTTACATGTTTTCCTACTTTGTGACGGTGTAATTTGGCCCGTGGGAGGCTTTTGCCTCTGGGTTTTCTTTCGTGGCCTCTCTCTGAAACATGGTGTTTTGCCAGCCTGTTTGATTTATTGATTGCAATGGGACAGCCTTGAAAACTTGCAACTGCAATCGTCACTGTCACTGGACAGCTGCCGCTGTCAGGCTGTCAGTGTGTTTATCACCAACTCTTTTTTTGGAACGCCCCGGACCGTGTGATGTGACCACTGTGACCGTGACCCGTGACCAAGTCCCACAAGCGGCAGTTAAACCGTCAGTGGCTGGTGGCCCTTGACACACGAGCTATGATTTTGCGCTGGACACGCGGCCCACATGTGGACAACATGTGCGTTTGTCTGCTGTCAAATCTTTCACGGTGACGATGGTGGTTGGGGTACGCTAGACGTGGCATTTGGCGCTCAGCATGCAGCATTGCAGCACCAGTACCAGCAACAGCATCGGTATAGAAGGGGTATAGTTTAGTCGAGTTAACAAAAAACCAACCTAATAGCAGCAGGCCGATCTATGTGCAGTGTGCCGCTCCTTTCTTCTTTGGATGGGGGGCAATCCAACTATAGTTGTATATAGTTATATATAGTTATAGCCATAGTCTAGTTATATATATATATATGATATGATCTTTTCTGATCATTCACTTGACCTGACCTGACCTGGTTTGAACGACATGCAGTAGGTTGGTCAAATGGAAGCTTGTCCTGCTGATTCGCCACTGCTTCCAATAAGATAAGATGAGGCTTTGCAGATTGTGCAGCAAATGGACAGAAAGGCTTGCTTCATCTTCGGAACCTTCTTCATGTTCATCATCATCCTGCGGTGATCGCAGCGGTTCAGCCTAGCCTAGCAAAGCTGAGGACAGGCAGAAAGGCTAAAGGTCACAGTCACACTGCTTTTGGAATTAATTTACTGGATGGATAGGTTTCAGTTTCAAGTTTCAAGGGTTTCTGTGCTTCTGCGCTGCACACCGTTGACTTACTACATTGGCAAAAGTAGTCTTGAATATGTTATCGCCACCTGAAGGAATTCAGACTTGGGTTATTTCCAGCAGCTTGCTGCTGGACTTGGGGCCTTATCCTTAGGTCAGAAGAGGGCAGGGGGAGATTGGAAATGTTCAGATTCCCATGCTCTCTTTATTTGAGGCATTGTAGGAGACTGCACTAACCTCTTTGGAAGATCCGAGATTTGAGTTGATGTCAAATACCAGAAATGTTGAACTGTTGAATACTATACTTAACTTAGAGATGAGAGTCCTTTCCGAATCAAAGCCTGTGACAGAGGGACAGGGACAGAACAACTTGGCATCACTTCCTTTGCGCCTCTCTCTGCTCAGGTTGCCAAGTGCAGTTCCAACGCGCAGCTGCAGCTTTTCTCCTTGTTTTTGAGGCGGGCTCCAGCTCCATGAGTCAGAGTCGGTTCAAATGATGGTAAGTGAACGCATGAGTTGACATTTTTGATTCCGGCTCAGATCGCTAGCTATTTGCCTTCTGACTGCTAGAGCAGTGGCAGTGTTGATAGTGAGGCCCTGCTATTGTCAGTCATATCCACATGGCGACAGATCCGCTTTCTGATCTTCGAATCGCATCATGCAGGGGGGTTGAGGTGGATGATTCAGAGGTCAAACGGCAGACGAATTGCGCCTCTGGTTTCAATGACAAGTGCCAGTTCGCAAGTGGTGGATCTATTTTCAACTTCCATGACTCCGCACATGTTGAGATCACCATCACAAGTCATGTTCATTTTCATGGGCGGCCTCACCCTTCTCCCAGTGTTCCCGCTGGTGATTGTCGGGATTCTTCTCCTTCAGACTGTCGGGATCATCGAATCAAAGACAAGTCCAAAAAGAAACACAAACGGCGAAAGGCCAAGAAGTTCGACAAGGGTGAGTTTGATTCCCCTGCCTCTGACAGTGATCGTGGTGGTGATCATGGTGGTAGTGATGACCGCAAAAGAACAAGGGTGCATGTGAAATCAGGAGGGGGAACGAAAACCCCGGATCGCCGAGTCAGTCCATGTGGCCGCTCTGCTGGTGAAGCACCTTGCCTACAGTGTGAAGACACTCAGGGAATGGCAAACCAGGAGAGCCCACCTTCTTTGGGCAAAGCAATTACCATGCAACCAGGCTGGGATGCATGTGTGAGGGCAGCCTGTAGGGAGACGCAAAATGAAAGCTGGCCGTCTGATGGCTTAGAGTCACAGGTAAGGGGATTGGTCAAAGGCTTTGTTGATTCAATCTTTGCGGCGCACAGCCACCGCACCAATCATTGTGACTCGTGACCCGCAGACCTACATAGGCTTAGTGGCAGCTGGCTGGAGGACATTGCTGCACGCTGGGTGTGAATGTGGGATCTCGCACTTGTGAGTGGCAATTTGAATAGCCTCAGCCTTATGCCCCTTGCTGCCCAAAGGGTTCTTAGTTCCAAAAGACTTCTGGTCGTAGCTTAGCTAGCTTGGTACTGCCTGATACAATTACAAGATCTGCAGTGCAGCGCTGCTTGTACAGTAAAGAAGCTTAGAATCAGAAGCTTTGCGCACGCTTAGGCCTAGGCTCCTGAGTCTAGGCAATCCAACAGCCAAAGAGTGTTCGAATGTTGGAAGCTGCAAGAGCTGGCAATACTAACACACACACACAGAGTAAACAGTAGATGAACATATGTGACATATGTTAAAATCTGGCTGCTCGGACTTTATGTGAGCTGAGTTGCGTTTGTTTTCGCTCTTCTTTTCTTCAGTTTTTGGTTTCAGTGCGTCTTGACTGTGCTCAAGGCAGTTGGGGTCACTACATCGGGGAAATGGTGGTGATCTCAGCAGCTGAAGGATGGGCTAGCTAGTAATAGTCTTTGACCTGTGAGATTGTTTGCTTGAAGGGGAACGGGAACTATTGAAGAGCTGACGTACTGTTGAAGAAGCAAGTGTATTTGTCAATGGTCAATGGAGTCAATGGGCCATTGGGAGAATAGTTTGTGTTGGGTTGTTGTGCCTTTGCTGATGGCTGATGAACTTGATAGATTCCTGGCCTGGTCGCAACAATTGATTGTGCAGGACGACAGGTGGTGGTGATGGAGCATGGGCAGCAGTTTGCAGCGTTGTTCCCTCCTTATCATCAGTTCATCAGTCGTGAATGCATTCTGAATGCGTGGATACTGGATGTGATGTTATTATTTTTGGATGATACTGATAATGATCACCATTAACCATTGTTCTTTTTTTTCAGGGCTTCAATCGTGAAATTGCTTCTCTGACTACTATGTGCATTGCAGTGTGATAAATTTATTGCAAGAAGTTGGTTGGTCATTCTGT